AGTCCAGCCTGGAGGGAACAGTCCTACACTGATCACAGGCAATTAGTTTGATTCAAATCCATGACTTAACTAAATATCATCACCAATGTGAGCACTGCCAGTAACTTTCTGCTGCTTGTCCAGCTCATATCAGCGTGAGGTTACATATACTAAATTATAATTATAATAATCCTTGCGTTTGAAATAGTGCTTTTCATGTCTTCTAGACGTCTCAAAGCGCTTCACCGAACAGACTGTGAAGTGAATTGACTGTATATTTGTGGGCAAAACATGGCAGCCAATTGCACACTGCAGTGTCCCACAAATAGTCGTGGCTAGAAGTGATTTCTTATTGATTATTTATTATTTTTTTTCTTGAGGGATTATTATCAGGTGTGTGGACTAAGGAAACTTGCCCAGTGCCTCAGTCTCAACCTCACCATCATCGACAAAGCTATCTTGGACAATCACTTCATCTCCCTTAACTCCTCAATCCCTCTCCCCACCACCATCCAACCCACCTCCATCTCCTAATGCCCCTGGAAAAAAATCTCCCCCACCTCCCTCTCGGCTGCCTTGGAGTCATCTGTAACTCAGTGGTTAGAGCACTCACCTTACAAGCGAGACACCTGGGTTCAATTCCAGGCAGGGCGAAACCTTGGGCAAGTTTCCTTACTTCAAACGTGTAATAAAAATCCCTCCAAAACAAAACAATAATAAATTGGTCATTTTCAATCCACGGCTGTTTGTGGGACATTGCTGTGCGCAATTGGCTGCCGGGTTCGCCCACAAATATATAGTCAATTCACTTTACAGTATATTCTGTGAAGCGCTTTGAGAAGTCTAGAAGGCATGAAAAGTGCTATATCAAATGCCAGGATGATTATTATTATTATCTAAACTCCTTCCCCTCTGGGCTTCTTCCCGCAATGACCTATCCTCCTCGATCACTCTTCTCCACAGCTCCCGCTCCTCCACTCTCAAATCCCTCGCTTCCCTCTCTTCCCGATCCGTCTCCTATTCACGTAAATCACCTTGGTACACTTGCCACCTCCCCTCCCACAGAGCACACGTGGCTTAAGTCAAACGTAACAGTCTATAAGCAGATCTGGCTGGACCTTATCAAATCGTACCACCTCTGCTAAATCGACCTTCTACTCCAAGACAATTTCACCCCTCCTCACCTCAAACGCCAATTGCGAAGCAATGCTGGACTTCCTCGAATCCAACTTCGAGGAAATCCTCTCATCTGCCTCTGCCCTTCCGTCTACTACCCATCCCCATATCCCATCCCGGCCCCTAACCATCCCTCCCTCCACACCTTTGAATCTGTCTCCCCCTCCTCTCTCACCATCACTATGACCCGCATCAAATCGACCACTTGCTCCCTTGAC